ACTTTTCTTTGTTTCAAGATACAAAAACAAACAACTCAAAAACCAAAGTCTATAAACGAAAAATTAATAAATTTACTATTCAACAGTTTAAAGACTCACTATCGGCAGTGAGATGGGATAAGATTTACCAAAAATGCAACCTTGGGCACACCAACTCTGCTTATAATGAGTTTTTAGAAATATTCTTAAAGCATTATAATAATCACTTCCCAATTATAGAACAACAATTAAAAGTAAAATACTTACAATGTCCATGGATTACTAGAGGTATAAAAAAATCTTCAAAAAAAAAGCAAAAACTTTACATCAAATATTTAAAAAATAGAAATGAAAAAAACCTAAATACCTACAAGCAATACAAAAATTTATTTGAAAAAATTAAAAAAAATTCAAAAAAAAACTACTACTCGAAGCAAATAAAAAATGCAACTGGTGACATTAAAAAAACATGGAACATTATAAAAGAAATAATTGGGAACAAAAAAACTAAATCAAATAATTTGCCTGCTCGAATTATCATAGACAATATAGAGTACAGTGACAAAAATAAAATTGCTGAAAAATTCAATGAATTTTTTATTAAAATTGGCCCTAATCTTGCCTCAAAAATTGAATATCCTAATAACTCGTTTGAATCATATCTAAATGATCCCCAGAGCGAACTAAAATACAAAGAACTAAGCTATCAAGAGCTTAACGTTGCACTAAACTCCTTAAAATTAAATAAAACTCCAGGAATAGACGATATCTGTAGTAGGATAGTGGCAAATGTCTTTACAGTGATAAATAAACCTATATTTGAAATCTTCAAGTCTTCGATTAAAACAGGAGTTGTACCAGACAAGTTAAAAGTAGCTAAAGTAGTACCAATATTTAAAACAGGTGAATCATACTTAATTAATAACTATAGACCTATCTCGGTACTCCCTACCTTCTCTAAGCTTCTCGAACGAGTAATCTACAACAGATTGTACGAGTATTTAATCCAAAATAAAATCCTAAATAAAAAACAATTTGGCTTCCAAAAACAATATTCGACTGAACACGCAATCCTAGATCTAATTAATAGTATAAGTGATTCTTTTGATAAAAAACAATATGTTCTGGGGATCTTTATAGACCTGTCAAAAGCCTTTGACACAGTAAATCATAATATCTTACTTAAAAAAATGGAAAGCTATGGAGTAAAAAACATCACTCTTGACTGGTTCAAAAACTACCTAAGCAATAGGCAACAATGTGTTATTTCAGACAATTATAAACACTCAAAACTACTAAGAATAGAGTGCGGTGTCCCCCAAGGTTCCATTCTTGGACCCCTTCTGTTTCTTCTATATATTAACGACCTTACAAAAACCTCGAAAAAACTTGATGTTATAATGTTTGCCGACGACACAAATTTATTTTATTCCTCGAACTCAATCAAAAACCTTTATGAATGTATGAACAAAGAGCTTGAAAAATTAAACATCTGGTTGAAATTAAATAAGTTATCACTAAATACAGAAAAAACAAAATATATATTGTTTCATTCCAAAAAACAAAAAAATAATATACCAACTATACTTCCCCCACTAAAAATAGATAAGGTAAACATTAAAAGAACAGAAACAACAAAATTTCTTGGGATACTTATTGACGAAAATATAACTTGGAGAGCCCATATTAGTACAATAAACACCAAAATTTCAAAAAATATTGGGATACTTTACAAAGTTAAACCTATGTTGTCCCAAGATAATCTTAAATCTCTTTATTTTTCTTACATCCAAAGTTATCTTACGTACGCTAATATTGCATGGGCAAGTACACACAAATCCAAGTTAAATACTCTTTATTTAAGTCAAAAACATGCATCAAGATTAGTTTATAATAAATATAAACTCACCCATGCTGAACCTTTACTAAAAACCCTAAATGCACTGAATGTTTACCAAATCAACATCTATCAAAATATTCTTTTCATGCTTAAATACAATCTTGGACTAGTCCCATCGCATTTTTTAGATAACTTTTTTCAAATTAACTCTAATAGATATACCACAAGAGCAACAGGGAACTTCACATTACCAAAAAAAACAACAAAGTTCTTACGATTCTCTATTTCCTACCGGGGTCCGTACCTATATAACAAAACAATATCCGAAAATATAGAACTTAAAACATTAAATAATTCTGCCACCTTGAAAAAAAAAATTAAAACACCTCATACTTAATATCAAAAATTTTATTGACATGTATTAAACTTAACAACAAGATTTATACTAAAATGTTTATGTGTATCACTGACTGTGTATTGTTTAAACACTTTTAACTATATATAAAAATTAATTAAATTTATTTAACCATTTGAAAAGGTACTTGATGATAAGACTTCATAGTCTTCTGCGAGTCTCCTTTACAACAACATGTTTATATTTGAAGAAACAATAGTTTTTATTTAAAAAAAAAAAACAGTGTTTATTAATCTAACGTTATATTTTATTATAATTGTTAAATTACGTATTCTTATGTTATGTTATATATTTTACTCTTTGCATTAAATTATATGATAGAATTGTAACGTAATGAAGTGTATATTGAAGTTGTAAAAAAAAAAAAAAAAAAAAAAAAAAAATATATATATATATATATATATATATATCAGTCAGCCTATATGATATGCCCATTACAAATTATTACATAGGAAACATAAAGCCTATACTGATATGTCCATTAGCAATTCCTGGATTCTGTGGTGGAAGCGTAATCCATCAGATTAGCAGATTTGTTGTCTATGTACTAGGTGTTGCGTAAACGCAAAAACGGGTCGCCCATCACTTGCTGACGTCACACCACGTGTCGGTTCAAAAATTTCTATTTCTCGTAAAGCAAATTGATCTGATCAAGCTGGACATTGGCCCATTTCAATGAAAAGCGGGCTCGTTGCAAATATGACAAGTGCATATTTACTGACATGAGATATTTATTTTGTGAGAACACTGCGCTATTTCTCAATAAGGACCGCAACTGTTTTAAAGTCTTCCATCAACAAAAATTTTATTTATAATGACATCTTTATTGAGTGTGTATAACTCTCAAGCTTCCATTTCATTCCATGAAAAACTTTATGTTTAACAACAAATATTAGTTTATCATTTTTTCATAAAGTTTCACTACTGCATATATAAAACAAACAAATATTTTTCAATTTGTATACCTTAAAATAGCTTTGTTTAAATATATATATATATATTTTGGTGTTAGGTCATAGAATACTTCTAGATTTATTAGTTTATTTCAATATAAAAAAAGTTATGAAAAAAGGGGCTAACAAAAAAAAAGAAAGTAATTAATCAAAAGTTTTGTTATTAAACGCAAAATAATTTCAAGCAAAATAAAACCTAATGGGTTTTAATTTGCTTTGTAATATGTTGGACAAATACGCGTTGTAATGTTAGTTGACCTTAAATTTACAGTGAGAAAAGGGGGCATCCATAAAGTACGTACGCAGTAAAATAACTGATTTAGAACCCCCCCTCCCTCCTTCTTGTACGAACCTGGACGCTTTCGAAGACCTCCCCCCTCCCCTCGTCTCCATGTACGTACTCATTTTTTTTTTCCAAATTAACTCGATATTTTTTTCTCATTATTTATAAAGAAGTAAAAATAAAAAAATTGTAACTTAAGTCAAAAAAAACAACAATTCTGATTTGGTACACGTGTGAAATTCAACGGTTTTATTTAAAAAAATAAAATCATGTTTAGAATAGTCAAAACCGCGTACGGACTCACTGTCTTTAACACCTCCTCCCCCCTTGTACGCATTCGTACGTTTTTAGAAAAACCCCTCCCCCATACCTGCGTATGTATTTTATGGATGGCCCCAAATTGTATTTTACATTTAAAAAGTCTATTAAATCTATTAAATCTAATAGAACTTCCATTATATCTTTCCAAAACTTAGTTCCAACTATTAGAATTATCTTTTCTTCTCTCTTCAATCTGTCTTACAAACTGTCTGCATAGAATAGCACCCTTGGAACTCTTTAAAGAGAGCTTCTATAATAAAAAAAAAGCAAAGGGCTGAGCACTGAACCCTAACATACGCTAACCTTAACCCAAAAACCATCACTCTCTCCAATTTTTATCTTGAACGCTACTGTGACATTTTCATTCATAGCTATATAACCAACACCAGCCATTATTCAACACCTTAAATTAATTTGAGGCCAAACACATCGAAGGCTATAAATGAAAATGAAGCAAAAGAAACTGCGCTCAACCTTTTAAGTAAAGAAAGCTCAAACAATTTATGTCAGTGGAATTCAACCTAAAAACAAGTTTCTATAACAATTACCACCCTAACAACCACAGGCATTATTATTTTTCTAAAAATTGATTTTTTTTATCAGGATTTGTAAACATTTTAAACATGTTTACATTTCAAAACAATTAAAAAAAATAAACTTGATAAAAAAACTCAAATGTGATTGTTCAAAAATATTTTTTGGTCTTCTCTCTTCCATTATCCAGAAACGAGAAGAAACCCACGATAAAGTCATCATTTCCCACTGGTTTAATAAATACGATAACCGTTGGTTTTTGGAAAAAAATATAAAAAAAGGTAGATCAAGTAAACGAGCCTGACCAAATAATAGTTAAAAAATTAAGCTTTTTATGTTATTTTTTTTTCCTTCTTAAGTAAGGGCCGCCTTAAGTAAGGGCCACCTTAGCCAGCAAAATTAATAAAATTTTAAAGCTTTAACACAAATTAGATCATGTTGAGGGGACGCAAAAAATTTATAAAACAGTTCCTTTTTTTCCTACACTTGGCGACAATTTTTTGTGATTGGGGCATTTTGCGACCTTTATTGTTAATTTTAGGTACAAAACCGCAACAACTTATGTATTCAAGCTTTTTTATTATTTTTACTAAATAGCTTTTTAAAGGTAATTATTGGAACAACCAAAAAAAAAAAAAAAAAATAATAATAATAATAATAAAACAAAACAAACAGTTCATGTGCAGTGTTATCACACCATATAATAAAATTAATATAAATAAAATTACAAATTATATTATATTTCATATTAATTACAAATTTTGGGGTATTGAGAAGAAACAATTTAATATTAGGATTGTCGTGTATATTTAATTAATAGATTTTTGGATTAGAAGTCGAGAAGTATTTCAATAAATATGATATCACGCTTTTGACCTAGAAATAAAGGTTTAGTTTGGGTTAATTTTACAATCATTCACAATTTTATTTATAATTTTACATACAATCATATATAATTATATCATTTCATTTTAAGTCAAAAGATTTTAAATAATAAAACAAAAATTGTTATAAAATATAAGTTATTTTTAACATGCATTCTCAAGAAAAAAGAAAAAAAAGTAAAGTGATCAAGTTCGATTTTAAGTGATGATCTAGTTATTATAAAAATCAGTGACTATGGTGATCAGTGACTAATTTACTTGATTATGTTATAAAAAAATTATTATTATTATTTTTAATTTTAAGATTTAAGATATCAAGTGAAGCTGCAGTCGCTCTTGGTAACGGACTGCCTAAAGATCTTTGCATCATTACTGAAACTGACAAAATTGATGTTTTGGATAAAAGTATAATGAATAGAGCTAAAAAAAATGTTTGCCTGCAGTCTGTTGCTGAACATGATATAATAGTCAAAAATCTATTTTGCACCCGTGGAGCTGAAAATATTTTGAAATAATTTTATTAACCTTAAACTTTTGATCGGAATATAATGCTGTTTAATTGGGTGTGTTTGTTAACTTGGGTGTAAAATTGAGTGTGCTTGGTGTTTAATTTTTATAATATTAAATTTGAAAGAAAAATGAGAAAAAGATAATGGTTTTAATTGAGCTATCAACCTAACTTCGTTTCAAATTTTTATGTTTAACTGTTGGGGATAAAATTCAACCATTCGTTGCTGCTGCCCTGTATTTATATAGCATATGCTGTATTCAGCATATTAAACTATTTTATAATTAAAAATAGTAGTTAAAAGGGGTAAAATAAAATTGAAGTAAAAAGTGAAACCGCAGTTTTGTCATTTTGAGGAAAAAAATTAATTTCTTGTGTTACATTTCTTGTGTTTTGCGGTTTCCTAGTATAGCTTTAATGATAATTATAAATTTTCGTTAGTGAAATCTGGTTCTCCTAAAAAAAACTGGGAAGTTATAAAATCACTCTTTTTCAATTGCATCTTTAAATTGTTATATAAATTTTTATTTAAACTGAATTTTTTAAATTGTTTGCAAAAAATTGAAATTAAGTAGAAATTAAAAGGATTTTCCAATTTTCTGACACAATTTCCTATTTGAGATCTGCTCTCAAGTGAAATTTATTTTAAAAGTAAAAAATCGACTTAGTGGGGAATAGCAATTTTTCTACAATTTAATACAAAATGTTATTTGTTGATCTTAGTTGAGTAGTTTACTTACATGTATAAGATTACTTAGATGTCTATTTACACGTAAAAGATATAAATAAATTACACACATGTAAAAGATATAAATAATTTACACCAATTAACTTTTGCAATCAAAAGTTATATACAGCCCTCGGAATTAGAAAAAATAAAGTCGGCAATAATTTGCAGACCTTAATCTTTTTGAGGTCAGCAAAATAATTTGATACAAAGGTTTTACCATAAACCATAGAAACAAGGTCGGCAATTTTTTGCCGACCTCAAACAATTCAAGGTCGGAAGTTAGTTTGGCATTGCCGAATGCCGACCCTAATTCCCAAGGCTGTATATATAAATAAAAGCTTACCAAACTTAATTTGACAAACTATTCCATTTGTATACCATAATGGTAAAGTCTTTACCAACAAGCATTGGGCCCAAATTTGCATCTGGAGAAGGCCAACAGTCAGTTGATTCACCATCTCGACCATAATTAATATCTTGTGTTGCACCCATCCAACACTCTCCCCAATATTCAATACCAAAGTACTAAAAAATTATAAAATCAATGTTAAATTTAAAAATTTTTTAAAATAGAAAAATAAATGAACATCAAAATATTACTGCATTTATTATTAAACATAGAACAACAAATTTTTATTCTCATGAATACAACTTTTATTTTATAAACTTTATTTTTATCTTAAATATATAATTTTTATCTCATATTTAATTTTTATTTCTTATATATAATTTTTATCTCTTATATAATTTTTGTCTCACATATAATATTTTTAACTCATATAGAGTAAAATGGGTTCAAAGGAATTGCTAAGGATTTTAATTATTAATTTTTTACGGAAAAAAGATTTTTCCTTTTTTTTTTTTTAAAGTTGTAGAGAGTATTGAGCTGTATTTAAATATATAAAATTTTAACAATTTTTTTGTTAATATTTTTCAGCTAATATTTTCGTCGGACTTGTTGCTTGGTTTATTTGCTGTTCTCCATTAGAGCTAAGCTTATGTTGTTTTTTAGCTTGCTTTGCTGCTTTTTTGCTCTCAGCATCTTTTAACCTTTCAAGTATTTCAGGTTTGTTGAGACACTCCCCTTTGAGTCTTGGCACATCTACATTTTTTCTTATTTTTGTGTCAACATGTTGGATACAAAACATTTGTTGCAAAGCTGCTGCAAGTGATTGGGCTAAATGCAGTTGTTTTGCAACCTCTTTTTGAATTTCCTTTTGAATAGCCAGAGTTACTACAATATTGAAGTTTGTTTGCAGACAAGGTGACTGCAACAAGAGAGTAACTAGCGTATCTCATTCATCTATTAGAACCATTTTATAAAAGCAGTAATTAAAAGTCATTTAAATTCAGTTAGAAAAAATCATTCATTGAAATTTATACAAAATATTTATAGTTGTAGATTTATTGGTTACTTGAGACCTAATAAAAAAAGCCGCTAGAAATAAGCTATTGCTTCGTATTTATTTATTTATAAGCGTATTTCATTCAACCCTACAACACTCCATTTCTGTTTTTAACTCATAACTTTTTTTCCTAAACAGCAAATTTAATTCTGAAAAAAGATTCTGAAAAAAGATTCATGATCAGCGTAAAAAGTTACAACAGTAAACATTTTAAGTTCAATGATACTGAATTTAATTTCTGAGAGTTTTAAGTTCCTTTTTTCGAACTAATAAAAAAAATCTTATTACACATTCAAAAAATAAATTTATAACAAAATTTGTTTTATTAAAAATAAAATTTTATACAATCTTACTCAGAAAAATATTCTCTACAATATAATCAAAAAATATTTGCAAAAAAATTATCCAATAGTTAATTAAGATCGAAAGAATAAACATTGTCATAACTATTTCATTCTACCCGCTATTTCATTTTACCCAGTTTTACTCTATATAATTCTTAAAATTGAACCAATAATAATTTTTTAATAGTTAAAAATTGATATGAAGAATCAAATTGAAATCAGTTTAAAAAGAACCATAAGAACATTTTCTCCCTCATGTTATTCTACTTTTTATGTTTTGATTTTATATTTGTTTAATAATTATGTTATATGGTAATAATTATCGTATATGCAACCTTTAAAGTATTTTGTAACAAAATTATTTACATGGCTGGCTGAACTTAGTTTTAACATTATAGGATATTTAATCATATTTTATAAATTTATAAATTTCAGGTCAGTGATGAAGTGGCTTAAGAAATACATTTTATATTAATATTTTAAATATATACTTGAGGTTCATAAATATGCTACTATTAGAATTGTATAAAGATTTTTTTTTTTAATACAAATAAATAATGAGTTAGTAGGTAGTCAATCATATAATAAAGTAAAAAACTTACTTCAAAACTGTTGGCTTTAGCATAAGCAGAACATAACATAGTAATATTTCTTAATGAATCACTCATATTATTCCAGTCAATTAATGAACGATAGTTAACATATGTTGTAAAAAGACGTTTTCCCGCAATATAACCAACATCATTATAACAGCCAACCCTTGAGACTGGAGGGGAAAAAATAACAAACTAATAACCGGAGAAGCAAAATCTATATAATTCTTAAAATTTTAAATAACAAAATACTTACTTGGTTGAGGTTGTGGCTTCAAAACTAAAAATAATGACAAAAAATATTGAAAATTTAAATTGACTCGGTTTATTTATAAATATATATCAAATATAATGCTAAAAATAAAAATTGTGTGTAAATATACTTTACATAGCAAAATTTCAAGTCACCACTAAGAACTGTAGACACACAAGTCATTACTAAGAACTGTAAACACACAAGTCACCATTAAGAACTGTAGACACAAAAGTCACCACTAAGAACTGTAGACACAAAAGTCACCACTAAGAACTGTAGACACATAAGTAACCACTAATAACTGTAGACACATAAGTAACCACTAATAACTGTAGACACACAAGTAACCACTAAAAACTGTAGACACACAAGTCACCACTAACAACTACAGACACACAAGTCACCAATAAGAACTGTAGACACACAAATAACCACTATGTTAGTAGTTAACAGGAAATAAAGAGGAGAGAAAACAAAGAGGAGAAAATTAACTATGATTAGAAATAATGGATAAAAAGCTTGACTTGAAACCAACAAGAAGGAATACAAGCTTCAATGTCTAGGAGATTATAAGGGAGGAATTCAACAAAGACATTACCCCAAGAACCACAAAGAAAATCATGAAAAGAATCCCAGTTAGCTTTAAGATACTAGTAAGAAGTACAATAGTGAATGATGTAGAAGGACAATATAAAAGTTTTAATAGGATCATAGAATTTAGGAACATGGTCAAACATGGTCTGAACCACCTATTAGAAAACAAGGAGAAACTGAGCACAAACTAGGATGATACACAAATCAATGAGTGAAGATAAGTTAGGCTTATCTGATAAATGAGTCACAAAGTTAAGTACCTGAGTAAAAGATTCTGAAAGACAAAAATGTTGAGCTTTAGAGCCAGCAAGATTAGTGGTACTGGAGTCAAGCCATTCAGTGAGATGAGCATAAAGCAACCAATAAAAACAATTTTAGCTGATGAATAAAGAGAAAGGTCTTAGTCAATCTTATTAGAATAAGATTGAAAAGATTTCTTAGGCAGAAAAAGAGCAATAAAAAAACATGATTGAGGTACAAATACATAGTGTCAAAATTCAAACAATTTCATGACAAAATAGATGAATTGATACATAAATATATCCCCACCCCAAGCATGGATTCTTTTATCAAAACTTAGAGATAACAGCCATCAACAATAAGATCCAAAGGTCAATCAGCTGAGTTTAAATTAGTCTCACAAAGTTTGCCTGGTGAATTATGCAATAGGTATTAACAGATGAAAAGTTACTTTGAAGACCATGAATATTTTTAAAGGGTAAATTGAAATAATTTGGTGATAATGTATATTATTCACCTTTTAAGTAATTTAATTATTACTAAATAATTTTTAACTTAGTGCACTGATTAGTTTAAAAGCTTAACGAAAAGTAAAAGCTTTAAGTAAATATTTTCCTCTCAAGTAACAATAAAAGTTTCGAGTAAATATTTTTCTCTTAAGTAACAGTAAAAGTTTCAAGTAAACATTTTTCTCTTAAGTAACAGTAAAAGTTTCAAGTAAACATTTTTCTCTTAAGTAACAGTAAAAGTTTCAAGTAAAAATTTTTTATTCAAGTAAAAGTAAAAGCATCAAGTAAATATTTTTTTTTGTAAAAAGTCCACCAAATAGATAAAGTACTCAAAGCGATAAAAAACAAACAAATGGAAATGCCAACCTTATACCTTTTCCATATCACCTAAAAACAGTTTCTGAAAAGTTTAAAGCAAATTAGTGAATATTTAGCCAATGAAGGTCAAAGTGTTCAAAAACTGACATGATGTTCATAATCACATCTAATACAACATAATTATTCAATTTCAGCCTTTAAATTTTGTAAAAAGTTAAATTGTTTAACTTCACATACTTTTTTTAAACAATAACTAAATAAAGCTTATAAAAGTTCAAAATAATTTAGTAGAAAATTTCAATGTTAAAAATCTTAAACCAAAAAAACTTTATAATATAATTAGTTATATATTTGAAACGAAAATAAAAAAAAGTTAAAATGTTTATTGCTTAACTTGAAAAATTTATTACAAAGAATCTTTAAAAATATCTAAATGGCTACCAAATTTCAAAAATGTTTAACTGAATAAATAACTAAAACTTATTTTACCATCTGATAAATTGTTATTGACAGTTTCTACTCAACCTTAATTATTTAGCTATTTCAAAGCTGAAACAGTAGATTTTTAATTGCTGAAACAACAGTAGTTTTTTAATTGCTGAAAATTAATTTGTAAAAACCTTTCATTCTTTGCCACAATTATTCATTAATTTTTTGTAACTCATTCTTTTACTCTTTTTGAAAAAAAATCTTTACTCTTATTTGAACATTGAAAAATTAATTGCCCGCAGATATCTAGATATTTGAGTAAAAATTAATTGCCCGCAGATATCTAGATATTTGAGTAAAAATTAATTGCCCGCAGATATCTAGATATTTGAGTAAAAATTAATTGCCCGCAGATATCTAGATATTTGAGTAAAAATTAATTGCCCGCAGATATCTAGATATTTGAGTAAAAATTTGCTAGGAAGGCTAAAATGTGTCAAAGAAATACCTGGTATGCTGCACAATAAATAAACTAAGACTTGGCAATCTTTTTAATATCACCAAGCTGCCATGTTATTCATTTAGGAAACATATATTACTTACACCTTTAACATATTTCAATGTCTAAATCTTATTTCTCTTTTCACAGAATATATAGCAAAAAACTAGAGACCAATTAAATTCTCATTCCAATACCAAAGATGTCAAGAGGTTTCTAAATAGTTCTATCAGCAAGTATTTTACTAATTTGGAAAACTTTGAAAAAACCAGCTGGAACTTAAAATTTAATTCGCCCAAGAGACTTCCAAGAAAATTGATGGCAAGGGTAAGCAGTTCTTGATATCCCTCTTGTGGATGTGTTTTTTCTAGATGTTGCAGGCAAACTATCAATGCTCATTTTTTGAATATCTTTGCTAATTTTTATAGAAATATTTGTGTTTCTAATTGCTATTATAAACATGGATCAATCTGGTCATTGTTTTTGAAAACTCTGAAATTTCATGAATTAGTGTTGAAAGCTACTCAAAAAATGTGGTCTTTAATTTCCAAGAATTCAACAGTTGCTTTAATAGCACTAGTTATTGATGCATCTCTTCCATTTAACAATTTTTGTCAACCAGTTGGTCAAACCCACCTCTAGAAATAATTATGGGAAGTCGATCCACTTTTTCTGTTCCTACCAAAAAAAGGTAAAGGTTTGCCAAGAAATTCTAGGGAAAAATTTTAATATATTTTCTCATTCTTCATTTTATATTCTTTTGCTTCAATTTATTTATTTTTTTTTTCCATCAAAATTTTTATAGTGACCTTTAGTAACCTAAATGTCGCTAGAAAATTGTCTTAAACTGTCCTAATTTCTAATACTTTTAGGTGTTGAAAAATAAACAATATAAACAATCCATATAGCTTAAATTCAAAATTGTTTTAGTAAATTATGTAAAATAAAATAAATAAAAACAAAAACAAGCAAAACATTAGTAGAGTCTTTGTGAAGTGTAAACAAGGCCTTATAGATGTCAACAATTTAATTAACAAACTTACAAAATTTGTTAAAATATTATTTATAAAAAGTCAAAAATTTAATAATTATAGAAAAGTCAATGACGCATTTCTAAATATAGGCATTTTCTAAATATAGACATTTCTAAATATAGTCCAATTTGAACCAAATTTTGTATTTAATATTTGATTTTTACTATAAGAACCACCCTAATAGATAAGAACCACCCTGATAGATTAGAATCACATTGATAGATAAGAATCACTCTGACAGATAAGAATCACCCTGATAAATTAAAATCACCCTGATAGAAAAGAATCACCCTGATAGATAAGAACCACCCTGATAGATAAGTCCAATACTTCATACTTAGATACTATTTCAAGAAGAAATCTTCAGTTTCATATGTACGTAAGACACAATATAAGATAAAGACACATAAGTTGTTGCATACCAGGAACACAAGAGTCATCTTTAATAATAATATCATCCACTGCAGAATCTCCTTGGAAACCATTACCACGAGTTGCAACAATTGATATCTAAAGCAGCAAAATATATTTATTATTTTTACTGTAAAAATAATATCTTAACTTAAGTTTTTAATGAGTACTCAATTTAAAATAAATCTAAAAAACATAGAATATATTTTTTAGATTTTTGATTACTCAAATATTATTATCATATAATTTAAATGTAACATCTAAATATAATTATCTAACAGTTATTCTATTTTTATTTATTTTACATATAAACACACACACACAGATATATATATATATATATATATATATATATATATATATATATATATATATATATATATATATATATATATATATATATATATTTGTATACCATATATAGCCAGCCCAAAAGCACAGCATATACAGTAAAATTCTAATTGAGTTAAAAATTCCCAAAATTCAATGACCTTTTTTTTTTTTGAATTAAGAGGACAATTGAGTTAAAATTTCTCAACATTTTGTAAAACAAAAATTATAAATATTCCCAATATTGCAAAAACACAGCAAAAAATTCCTGGCTAACAATGTGATATATATTATGCTATTGTGTAATATAATAATATTTGTTTAAGAAACAAACAACAAAAAACTAAAACCTATAAATAAAAAATTACTTTACAAACCTGACATCTATTAATGCAATTGAAATCGAAACTATAAGGATGCCATTCATTTAACTGATTGCCAATTTTGTGAAAATACAACGTTTTTTCTTTTGTTATATCATCTGTTGTAAATACTTGTAATTCACCTATATTTACAAAGGTTTAAATCATTTTATTAAAAATAATTATCTTATAATATGAATGTGTAGTGTAATAAACCTAATCAATCACAAAAAACATTAATTTAAAAAATAATTCAATATTAAAAAATCAATATTAAAAAATAACCTTTTAATAAAAAAATTTTTGTATTTTGCTTTTAACTTTCAATAAGTCTTTCATATATTCTTTTTAACTATCTTTCATATATTCTTTTAAATTATCTTCCATATATTCTTTTTAGCATACTTAAATAACCCAAATCATATAAAAGTTTTTTTAACAAAAATGATGTTTCCATCTATTAAATTTTTTTAATTATAGCTTTCTTTTGTTATGTTTTACTTTTTTTGGAGTGGGTTCTTCAGATACTTATTTTTTATTTAATAAAATAATTGTTTGGTGCTTTTTTTCCTCTATTTTATGATTATGATAACCTTATACTTTCTACTTTAATCAATTTTAATACTTTTGAGATGTTTAAAACAATTCAAGCAATATTTTATCTCAAACTTTTGAGATCATTCAACACCAATATTTTAGGCAAAGGTTTAAATTGTTTAAATTGTTATGTTTCAAAGCGATATTTTATTTTGTTATGTTTCAAAGCATTATTAATTATTCGGACTTTAAAAGAAATATTATCATTTCTAGTCATTATTTCAAATTTATTTCATTAAAAAAAATTAAATTCATAAATGGAGGCGGAGAGGCTAGGGCTATTGCTCTTGACATATCTAAGACTTTCGAAAAAGTTTGGCATACTGGTCTTCTCCATAAGCTTGTTTCATAATTTGTATCTGGGAAAAATTTTGAGATTATCAAATCATATCTTACTTACCACTTTATTAAAGTCATCCTCATAGGCCAACACTCTTCTTTATTTCCAGTAACTTCTGGGGCACCTTAAGGTTCTATCCTTGGTCCTATTTTGCTTCTTATCTACATTAACGATCTTCCCAACAACCTTACATCTAAAGTAGTTCTTTTTGCTGATAACTCAACTTTATACTACTGTCTTGATGAAAAGTCTTCTCTTTTTGGTTGTTTCTAACAGGCAGCCAATTTTTAATCTGTTACAGAATTTTAACTTCAACAAAACTTGCTATTTACTGCAGGGTAGTTCCGCATCAAATCACCCAAAATTTAGGAAATTTTGAACCATGGGTCCTCCAATTTTTCAAAAACTTCTTTGGCTCTTGCATATTAAAAAGAAAAGTTAACACATAAAATTTCAGCTAAAAATGTTGAGCGGTTGACAAGATGGTGCAATTTTAATATTGACCTGGTTTCCCAAAATGACCCGGTTTTCATAACATTATGAAAAAAACATTTTTCTTTAAAAATTAAGAAATAAAAATGGCAAAAATATGAAAATAAACGTATATGTTTTTTTGATGCTGAATTCAATAAATGTACTTAAAATGCTGAAATATTAAAGGAACATGCTTTAAAGTTAATAAAAAAACTAGTTTCTATAAACCAACATCGGGGTCTAATACCTCAAAACACCCTGTCATTTTTTTTTTTTTTTTTTTGCTGTTAATTTTTTCAGCTGCTTATAATCTTACTAGGCACAAAAAATCTAACTGGAAAAACAACTGAAACATATTGAACTTTAATTTCAAAAATATATCTAATTTTAAATAAACTATTTACAAAAACTTGCAAATAGAATTCTGTAAAATATTATGTTTAGTTTATAGACTCCTTAGAAAAAAAAAACGAAACAATTTTGTTATACAATTATATGGTAACTTAGTTATTAATTATATGATAACTTAGTTATTAGATTTTAACAACTGAAAAAAAACATCCTGTTTTGTTTTTATATATAAAAACTGATTAAGTGTGATATTGAAGTGCATTTGTTTTTAAATTTAAACAAACTAACAATTTAATATACATTTTATATATATTTAATTTGTATATATATAAATATATCTATAAAGAAAATTAACAATATCTATCAGTGTAAAACATTATACAACAGAAGATTCTGAAAAGGTAGTAGGAAAGAAGAATTAGTTTTTTTTTAATGAAATACATTCATACTAAGTAATTTATATACTTTTTTAAATGGTATTTTCTAAAACATAAACAAAGTATTAAACAATTGTGCAGATAAGCTTTATACAATTCAATTACTTTTAGAAAATCTTAGAGTATTTATGATAAATGAGTCACAAGTCATGATGAGAAGTAGTTTGAATATTGTTCCTTAGAAGAAATTTTGCAAACCTTGTAAGCAAAAGATTGCCAGAAACGAAGATCTTAAAGAAGAGAAGCAAAGTCAGGGTGAACAAGATGAGGATTTTCTAATACCATCATTCAAATCAAAAAGACAGGAGATAAATGAAAAACTCAAAAATTTTAACATATCTCCTCTAAAATCTCATTCAAAGTCATCAAAACATGTACTCTCAGAAAGAAAGCAAAAAGTTGCACGCATCAAACAAATGGTAAATAACATTCTTAGAAAAATAGAAAGTCAATGTTCCCTCAAAACTGTGTTATGAAACAAATAACATATAAAAGAAGGCTGAAAACTTTGATGAAATTATGAAATTATGAGCTTGATAAAGAAAAAAATTCTATGTTTTGACAAAAGGACTATTGTTCAACTTCTAACACTGGCACCCCCAAGTTGGTCGATATTAGAAGAACAAAATAACTTTGCAGTTACAGAATACCAAGCAAAGATGGCCAGACAAATTTTTAATAAAAATGGAATGTTAGCTATCTCTCCATTGTATAAAGGTAAAGTCTTACACAAAGAAATAGAAGATTCTGTTAAATTGTTTTATGATTCTGTTAAATTGTTTTATTTCTTAATTTTTTAAGAAAAATATTTTTTCAGAATGTTATGAAAACCAGGTCATTCATGGAAAACAGGTCATTAATAAAATTGCAGTATCTTGTCAACCACTTAACATTTTTAACTGAAATTTTGCATGCAATATTTTTTTGTAATTAAAAATGATGTTTCAAAATATAACACAAAAAGAAGACACATGGTTCTATGGACTGAGTGATTTGATGTTGAATTACTATCGCAGTACTGTCGACATACCTATATTGATGAAAGGCAACGCTCTCACTGAGTTCTCTTCTTTACACCTTCTTGGATTATCATTTACTACTGATCTTTCATGGAAACCATATATACAATCGATTGCTAAATTAGCATCTGCTAAGGTTGCTTCTCATTCGTGAATGCCATTTTCTCTCTCCTGATTCCATATTCTCTACTTCTACAAATCTCTTATTTGTTTATGTATGGAATACTGTTGTTTTATTATGGCTGATTCTTCTAATGATGTTCTTTCTCTTCTAGACAAAATCCAAAAACGTATTGTAAATGTAGTTGAATCTGCTACCTGCTACGCTCGAGCCTCTATCCCATCATCGTAAAGTTAAATCTCTTTCTCTTTTCTAGAAATACTATCATAGTTGCTGCTCAAAAGAACTATCATTTCTAGTTCCATCAACTAAAACTCAATCTCGCTTGATTCGTTATTCAGCAAATTATCATATTTTACTGTATCTGTCCCTGCATGCTCTAAAAACTTTTATTATATCTAGTTTTTTTACCCGCATTTCAATGCAACAACCTTCAACTTTTCAAGTCTTCTGTCAACCTTTTCCTGCTCGCTAACTCAATTCTTTTTTTTTCCTAGTAACTCCCAACTTAATAGTGGTTGCTTTTTGGGAGTGAATCAAAATAAAGACAAAAAAAAAAGTAAATTTATCTAAAAAACAAGTAAATTAATCTACAAAAAACAAGTAAATTTATATACTATTATCTAAAAAAAAAAGCAATTTGACATTTTATAAATATGAACAATTCAGTGCTAAATGCACATGTTTTACAAAATAAAAATATGTAATAAAAATATCTTGACCTGTTGTTAATCCATACATGTGATAAGCAAACTTCATACAATGTAGACCAGGAGATATAAAAGAGCTTTGCATTATAGCCTGAACACCTGGACTTATTCCAGATGCTTCTAAATACACATAGTAACCTAAAAAAGTACACAACCTTTTAAAAAAGTACAGTCTTTTAAGAACATAACACATTAAGCTATCTAAAAAAGTTCACAGAAAGAACATCCTTGCTGACTTTTCACATTTACAGTTTTCTTTTACATTACAAACAATTTGGTTCATTAAAGAAAAAATTGTGCATTTGCAATAAGCTATATCAAACAGTTGTGACATAAACTTCCTTATGTTTTTTTCCATTTTAATTATTTCTTCATTTTTGGTTAGTCTTTTCCTGCAAAAATACTGAACATCATTATAAACTTTTTAGAATTTTCTGTTCATGGACTTATCTGTAAAAATTACTGGACATCTAAAGTCTATAATGACTTTTCAAGAGAAATGAAGTAAATACTGTTATAAAATGGTAACAACAGAACAACCACTAAATATATATGAATAAACCAGAAAGCTAAATATCCTTCTAAAAATAAATCTTCAACCACCACAAAATTTAATATTAACTAGACTTTGAGTTTGAATCTTCATGAAATATTATCTACTTTATATGAACACTTCTGTAACTCTGTGTCTCTTAATAGAAAAATGCTTTTCTTCTTCTATTTGTAGGTTTTAGTGAGGAGCCAACTCATACTTACAAATATTTTAAATTCAAACTTGTAATCAAATAGAAAAGAAATGAAAAATGTTAAAAACAAAAAAATCTACTGACCTATAAGATATATCACCATCAATACTGAATCAATGATGTTCATGATACTCTCCAGGTTTAAAGATTATCTATTTAATAAATCTCTAACCATTTTTTAACAGTTTTTAAAACATAATGTCTAAAACACTAAAAGTTGCATATGGTCACACCTCCCTTTACTATTTGTTATTTACTTTAATGAATTTTTATCTTGCTTGAAACTCTCAATATCAATTATTTATGCTGACGACACAGTTATATACATTGGAAAAGATGGAAGAGATGTATTTATTATAGAACCGTGCCATTTATCTGTTCCTGATGTATAGTCTGATATGAAAGAAATCTCAAAATAGTGTATGAAAAAAGAGCTTATTTTTAACTTTTAAGTTTGGAAAATAGAGCTTGGAAAATTTTAAAATTTCTTTCAAAATAACCAAACGCTACGAATGTTTCTTACAACTTCAACTTAATATGTTTCACCTTGAGTAATAAATACCTTGGTATCAACCCGCGCCTGGCAATTGTATCAACCTTACACTTAACATGAGTAGTTATTTTAACAAAACTTATTAAAAAACTTATAAAAAATCACAATTCTTGCAAATTCTTGTTGCATCTCGCTATTAACAAAGCAATGCATTCTTGGTTTATCATGTTTAAACTTTAGCAACTTCTTTCAAAAATTAGTGTTCAACCAAAAACAACAAGAAATAACACCCACCTAATTAAAGTTCCAAAAATCCAACTTAACTAAAAATTTCTTCTATTACTCTGGTATAATGTGTATAATGATCTACCATTGTATAGCAGTGTATATGATCTATCATTAGAACTTTGGAAAATTAATTCATTGACTGAATTTAAAAATAAGTTAAAATTTATGTTTAATATTTTTATATAGAAATATTTTTTCAATACTTATTTTATATTTTAATTTTTATTATATTTTATAACAGGACTTACATTGATAACACAAATGCAATAATTTCTGAAGTAATTTACCCTGTATAAATATTTGCCAAATAAATAATAATAAAATCTATATCTATATGAATTACCTATAAAAATAATTTAAAATTTGGTTATAAATATATTTATAACCAAAATAAATAAGAAAATAAGCATTTTAACTTAAGACCAAAGTTTTTTATGTTTTTTTATGTTCAAAGTTTTTATGTTTGTATTTTTATTTATATTGGTACACACATTTATATACACACACACACACACCTGTTCCTGA